TACTAGGAGAAACTGCAGTGGTTGTCATCTCGCCTTCTCCCCACACTCATGTCCTGCAAGGCTGAGACAGTTCACCAGAACCATCCAGAAAACAAAACAAATTACTTGCTATTCTCACAGGAGAACGCTAAGCTCAGGTTTGACAGAGTTCATTTCCAACCAACGCTGAGATGGAGCCTGGCCAGAAAGTTGCCATTGAATGGCTCAGTGGAGCAGTGACTGATTTTCAGGACATTCCCAGATGTTCACGTCCACCTTCACTGAAGCCCCCAGCAGCGCAGCACTCAGGAGCCGTGGGGACACTGGTGTCACTTCTGCTCGCAGTCTGGAGCCCGGTGAGGATTCCAACTCCACTAGGGGTCCTGGGATCCTCGGCTCTCGCAGCCTCCCACTGCCAGACACAGGAGAGGTCGCCCTCCGAGTGGCTTCCATCTGCCCGGTCCTGTGTCCTGCGCCCCCCGAGGTGGACGTCGCCTTTCCTGCCTGAGTCCACAGAAGGAGCACACGCATTCCGGGCTGCGGTCTTGGGCCTCAGCCTTTGCGAACACAGAAAATGGCTGTAAAAAGGTGTGTTTCCCCCTCGTCTAAATCCTCGGCAAAAGCAGGGAAATTCTCCACGCGGAGCTGAAAACTATTTAGTTTCTTTACACTGAAACAAAGAAAGTTCTTCCTGTCTTCTGAATTAGAGATATCAAACCTCCAGAATAGATGAAGGCTCCTTGAAAAAGGTACATTTATGAAAAATGAAACCTTGTAAAGTGGTCTTTCCTGCAGAACCAGCTACCAGCGCTTTGGAGTGAGTTAACTGCACGAGGGACAGACTGCCACACTGCTGAGGGGTCACAGCCCAGAGGCAGCCCTCGCGATGCCCCACACCTCGGAGCAGCTTCTGTTCGGACCCCGGCAGGACAGAGACCCTGGAGAGTTTGCAGGCCTATTGCAGCACGCACTTCTGCCTGGCAGCGCCAGGATTCAAACCACCTCTCCACCTCCTGGCACAGTGCTCTGGGCGGGCCACCTGGGTCTCCCTCCAGTCCTCTCCTCACGCCGTGAGCAGGAGGCGCTGCACCAACTATTACATTATTACGGGCTCGGCACTATTGCTCTCCAAGCACAGGATTTATTGTTGTTAATGTTATAATTGTTTCAGTGATTGCTCTTTTCAGCTGTAGACCACCTTAGTTATCTGTTGAGGGATTCTACAGTACGCCTGCCTGAATAAGAATTATTTGAAGAAAGAAGCAAAGCCAGGCTTCTGTTCTCAAGCTGTATCTTTGACTTGGCTGGGTTTGAAGCGTCCTCCGTGGTCACCTCGAGAACGCACTTGTCCTTTGTTGCTTACGGGTGGGTCGTTTTCCTCAGCCTATTGATGAGCGGTGCTCGCTTCCCAGTGTCTGGATGATTGTCAGGTAACTCTCAGTCTGAGCAGGAGGGCCCGCCCCGGATGGGCGGCGCCAACTAATAGGCTGGTGGCCTGGAGGACAAAGAGGGAGGGAGGCAGGAAGGCACCTTTGCGCCTTCACCCTTGGACCTTGGTCTCCAGTCTTTTTCAGGCCTTGTCCCAGACTCTTCCAACTTCCGAAGCAGCTCCCTTTGCAACACGGGGTTCTAGGCCTTGAGCTTTGGCTGGAGCCTCCGCCCAATCAGGCGGCCATTCTGAGTTCTTCCCCTGACCGCGGGCAGCGGGCGGCTCACCCAGCAAAGCCTCTGCTGACTGTGTGCACATTAACTTGGCAGCTCCCCGTGCACGCATGCAGGCCTTCTGTGCCTTTGCCTGAGGGAGGGGTGGGGCAGCTAGAAAGAGCGGGAAATGGGTTTTCTCAAGAGGAGGATCTCTCATAGGCCATGTTAAGGAAATTCTTAGCAGCAAGTCTTTACCAAGATCATAAAAATGCTTCCCTGACTTGAGGAAAACTGAGACTTGGAGAAAACTGATGAGATGAAAATACTGTAGGTTTCAGAAAAAGTGACTGGTGGGTTCGATACCCTGCCCGAAGGACATAGGCTGATTGTGGACCCAACACAGTCAGGGTTTCCTGGAGAGGCCGCACCAGGCTGAGCCCCAAGCCCAGGAGTGGCCCAGACCCAAAGAAGCTATCATCTGGGAGGGATCAGGTGGGGACAGCGAGGGACAGACCAGCAGCTGCCAGCACCCATAAAAGCAGCGGTCAGTGAATGTCACCCAGGGGCCATGGTCACCTGGGCACCGAGGCACAGGGTGACGTCCTGAGAACTTAGAAGCAAACTGCGAGAACTCTGCTTGAAACGCTGCTGTTCCAAATGAAAAAAGAAAAGGAAGGGGTGGGGGGAGAAGAGTGGGATGAGGAAAGGGCACAAGGAAAAGAGGAAAGAAGAATCAAGCTGCATTTCTGAGACTTGGACTTGCCTGTTAGCTTGTTAGACCTGAATTGTGTCATCATAGCTTTTACTGTTCTGTGAGACCATCTATGTGGAATAGAATTAATTAATTTTCTGAAAAATCGAGAGCTTCCACCATCAGTGTGAACTGTGAGTAGGTACAGATGCACACTGGGGGAAACGGGCAGAGAAAAGTCAATAAAATCATTTTAATATCATCATCCTGAGAGAATGATCATTAATATGTCAGTGTCTTTTCCTTCCAAGTCTCCACATGCATATACAGACATATACATAGATCTTGATTGTATATGTTGTTTTAAAATTTGTAAACTTAAATTTTTATTCATATCTACTTTATTCTTTTTTCCTGACTAGGTTTTCTACAAAATTTTTATTCCAGTTATCTTCTAAAATAGATTTTATGTTATTACATATATTGTTTATTTGAAGTATTTTTAATTTAGTTTAATTATTTAATTCTTGTTCTCTTAACTATTTTGTTGCCATTCTTTTCTTGGTTGGGTAGTTTTTTCCTCCTATATTTGGAATAATGAAGATATCCATAATTATGGCAAAGTTAAGGCTAAAAGTATGTGATTTTTATTTTCTAATTTTACATTCTTGTATTTTTCATTTTATTTCTTCCCCCAATAGTTATTTGAGAGATTTGATTTAAAAGGGCGTACAAGTTGATTTATTTTTAAAGTAGCATTGTGTATGGTTGTCACACCTTAGACAAAAATACAAAAAAGCATGACAAAAGTAAAAGTTAACTATATTCCATATAGAAATAACTATTACTAATGTATTTAGTTGTGTATCCAAGCTCATGGAAACACATTAAAAGAAGATGGTATTGCATACATTTCTTTGTGAAGTGCCTTTTTCTGTTTAGTAATATGATAGGTGTATTTCACCACAGTTTAGTTTTCTAATGCACTGTAGAATCTGTCTTAGTATAATTTATATAAGTGCTATCATTTCTTTGAACGTTTGGAGTATTTGCTCTACTTTATTTTCCCTGAAGACATCTTGTACATAAAATCATTCTGTATAATGCATTTTATTTCTCCAGGGACATTCAGAAGGTTGAATTATTGAGTCAATTTTTAAAGGCATTAAAGTGTCTGACCCATGGTGGTAATCAGTCCCATGGAATAGTCACCCACATTACACTATTGTCTGTGGTAGATGAAAATGCTCTTTCTTCTTAGTTAGGTCCACAGTGAGTATTTAAATATGTTTCCACTTTGAATTTAATTTTCATTTTTATAGTCCTTTGATTACTAGCCCTTTTTGTATTTCACTTTTATGAATAACTTTACAGTTGTCTATGAAAAATGATTCAATTTTTTTGTTGTGGCTTTAATAAACTTTATTGTCCCCTTGTGGACCACATGTTTTATTCTCTTTTATCATTTATCTTTTAAATTAGCTTTTGTTTGATTTTTTTATGTTAAGCATTAATTTTCACTTTTAATTTTTTTATTTTTATCAGCACATTTGCTGTACTTGATTCTTCCTACTTCCTCTCCCCACCCCTTCCCTCATCTCTTGGTCCCTTCCCATTTGCAAAAGATCTGCTCCTGTTTGCTCTTATCTTGTTCTCTAATTTATTTATAATTGGGGTTACTCGTAGAAGAGAAACATGCAATAGTTAAGCTTGTGTGTCTACTAACTTCCAATTTTCTTGCGTTTTGGTCACTACATAAATATATGCCACTGGTGAGAGCTTGTGTACTGCACAGAGGTGCTGTCCCGTGTTGCTCCTCCCATCTCCTCTGTCCTGGTTATTTCCCATCGCCTTGGGAAAGGCTGCCTTTGCTTAGATTCAGCCTTTTTAGAAGAATAAAATGTCCCTCAGCTAGGCTGTCACTAGAACTCCTGCTGGCCTTTGTCACATGTGGTGTCAGGGCAGTGGGACCCTAAGGGGTCATCAAGTCATTAAGAGATGAAGTGGCCCCAGCCTGGCTGCCCCTGCCCTGCGCCCCTCGCCTTGCCACATCTCTGCTGGAGTGGTGCAGCATGAAGCCTCTTCCAGGCTGAGCAGATGCAGGCAACCCTTCCTGAGACTTCTCAGCCCTGGAACCACAATTAGCACCTTTCCTTATAGACAATTCCGTCTCAGGTAAAATGGTGCCTCCGTTCACAAACTTAATTTGTTCCATGATTTTGGAAAAGCTGGCCACATCTGTGTTTGTCTGGGAAAGACAGCTGTGGTCAGGTTTGTTACTGGATATAGACTTTGCAAGCAAAAGCAAAATTTTGCCAAACACTTTTGTTTGTGAATCAAATTGTTTGCAAACAAAAGCTGTCATGAATTGAGCTATCACCATAGTCAGTCATGGCAGCAGAAAAGGTCCTCAGAGAATAAGATTTCAGATTTAGTTTTGTAAGGATCTGATATCTAAGATAGAAGATAGATAGGTAGACAGATAAGTTTTCTAATTAAAATATGCTAGACTATGGAATATGATTATCTCAGCAAATAAAACCAAATCAGTGGTTTTAGAGTGAATAAAGCAAGAGTACCTGAGACCGCAGATGAATAATAAAAGGATCCTTAGTGTAGTATTTATATTTATTTATATTCTTAGTGTAGTATTTATATTTATAGTAAGTAGCTGGCAATCAATAAATTAAAATGAAACTATTTTTTAATAACTTCAAATTGTTACAATTCCATTCTGTGTTCTTCAATTATTCTTTCTTCTGAGTCACTTACTTCTGTTTTCTCATTCCCAACACATGAACATGGGCAGGTATCACAGCATTAAAAGGAACAAGCAAAACACAAGCAAATAAGAATAAATCTTTCTCCCTTGGTGCCCCATCAGTAATGATCTCTCTGTACCCACTTCCTGCTGCTGGTTTCACTTCCTCCCATGAGTCCTCGCCACCTGCCTGGTCCTGCACTGTACCCCCAGTTCTCAGCTCCTGTCCAGGGTGCCAGGGTTCCCTGATGTGCAATAGCCAGTGGCCACTTCCTGTCTCGGCCTCTTTCCTCTGGCTGGGATACACTTTGCTGGAGCACTGTAGAGTTAGTGTTGGACTCATTTTCTTCTCCCTCCACATAATTGCCCTGTACAACATCATCCTGTCCTATGGATTAAAAATTCAATCTAAGAGCTTTTTTTGTTGCTGTTCTGGCTTTTTTCACTCAGGAAAAGGATTTTTTAAAATAAATTCATCCATGGACTTTCATGTATTGATCTCTTGCTTTTTCATGTTTTTGCTGGGTAGTATTACACGATGTGGCAACAGTACAATTGGTTTATTTATTCACCTGTTGGTGGACATCTGAGTTGTGTTTAGTTTGTGGCTACTATAAGGATAAACATCATGAACATCCAACTGGAGTCTTTGGGTAGACATAGTTTTCTATTTGGGGTCAAGTGGTAAATGCTTCACTGAGGAATTGCTAGGTCTTTGGCAAGCATATGAATAACTGTATGAGAAACTGCCAAACTGTTTTCCAAATGGGTGTCCCACATCACATCCGTGTTGGCCTCCTGTGGGGGTCCATTTGTTCCACATTCTTGCTACTATTCCCAGTTGTCATTTTTTAGAATTTAGCTGTCTTTGTAGCTACATAATGGTTCTAGTCTGCAGTCATCATATGAGTGATGATGTAGCACACTTTTTGTACTACTGATTGGCTAAATACTCGCTCAATTTGTTAGGTTATCTGTCTTTGTGCTACTGAGTTGTAAGAGCTCTTTGAAAGTCCTGGATACATTCTTCATTACATACGACTGGTGTGTCTGTTTCCAGTTCTATCTGGCTGTCACCCTCTATGTGAGGCTTTTCTACAAATAGCCAGTGGTGTGTGTCCCTTCTGCCTTGTAGTAACCACCCTCCGCCTTCCCACACATGGCCACTCCAGAGCTGCACCGCCCTTACACACACTTCTGTAATCACTTCCTTTGAAAGTACAGCAAACCCTTCTGAGCCATATCCTCCTCAAGGCCTCTTTCTCTCTTCCTGTTTCCTTTCTCATTTCCTTCTGTCTTTTCCTAAAGTTAATGATACTGTGAATGTACATAAAAATCTGCTATGAGGGTCAGGCTCATACACAGCATTCTTACTACAGTGAAAGATAAAGGAAATGAGGAGAGCTGTTTCACACAGCTAAAGTGAGGATCGAGTGAAGCAATGAGTGCAGGATACTCCGCAAATGCGAAACTGTACACAAGTGATAATGTGCAGGAGAACCAGGGCTGTCGTATTAAATATTGTAATTATGCTGCCTCTTTCTTAAGCCTAAAACCCTTCAAACATGGTATTTCACCTGGAATAAAAGACTTTCCAACACTTGTCTGTTTCTATAGGGGTGCACGTGTGCACACACACAGCCCACAAACACACACACAGTTACACACATGCACCACTGCAGCCAATCTTGCTTCCTTTCCACTCCTGCAGTATTTCAAGTCCCTTCTGTGGCTGAATTCTTACCCTTCGGCTCTTAGTTCAAATGCCACCCCAGAAACCTCTCCAGGCCACCCTGTCTCTAAGTAGTTGAGGATTCTGCTGCTCCACTCAAACAGAAATCGTAAGTCCACACGGATGCCCCCAGTGGACACCAGCTCATGAGAGGCCGTAGCCTCCTCTGCTGGCTGCTGCTCTCCCACTGGTCCCATTGGTTGTGGCCTCTGGAGCTCTTCAGGGACAACAGCCCTCAGGTCTCATTCCTCTCTCCACATTGCTGAGGATAACAGTCCTGAGCAGGTTTTCAGGACCTTCCAAGCCCACGACCTGAAAAGTAAGTGAGAAGCAGACTTACAGGCCTACCCGAGTGAGGCGTTACTTTTAACAGGACTATGCTACCCCAGAGGGGAGAGCACACACCAGTGGGTGCCTGTCTATACAAGGCACGTGTGAGTGGGGGGTGCTTAAGCAGCAGCTGCAGGCCTGTGGTTGGTCCCAATTCAGGCCTGCTGATTGGTCCAAACTTGAGCCTACTGATTAGTCCAGATTGAATTCTGCATCTCAGTTTAAATTTGGGCCTGCTGTGGTCAGGGGAGACATCTTCCAAAGTAGGTGCTGCTGTCCAGGCAGCTGCAGCTGTCTCGGAGGTGGGTGGTTAGAACATGGGAGATGCAAGTGTTTGACTGACAGCTGTCGTCACTCCACAGAAAAACGTGCTAGTCCTGGCTCCTGGGGCTTGGGGTGGCGGGCGGCTAACAAGGGCCAGGTCTCTTCCTCATTGCTGGCATGCGTGGAAGGCCATGTTGTCCCACTCCATCCTCTGGGACCCAGGGGGAGCGAGAGGAGCAAGGACAGGGTGCCCACCACACCACTCCCCAGCTTCCCGGGAGAAAGAGCAGACAGAGCCCTGTTGAGCCCGTCCTGCCCCATCAGCGGCCCTCGTGTCTCTGGCCCACTGGCTCCCATTCTCACAGTGCGGTGATGCTGTTCAGCTCCTGTCCAGTGGGGCTGAGGGTTTTGTGACCTGCTCTCTCTGCCTCCCCACAGGGTTCATTACTCAGCAGGCACGGGGATGTCTGTGAAAGCTGAACGAATGAGAGTGACTTCAATAATGACCAGAAACCAGGAAAGGCAGGGTAAGGTGACAAGTAGAAGTGAACTCAGGAGGTTTTGGGGATTGTAGTCATGGCCCAAGAGCTCGGTGCAGCAAGGTCAAAACGCAGGGAGACAGAACAACAGCATGAAAGTGTTAGGAAAGAAATGACATTCCTCTGGGTAAGCCAGAGTCAGTCATTCTAGGAACTAATATGTTACTTAGAAAAGTGGCTTTCAATGTGCCATTTGGGAGGATACTGAATTATCTGCATGTTCAGACATGCTGTGTCTGCCGAAAAAGCTTTCCCGTCTAGCTGGAGCCCGCTGAACGTGGGAAAGATAAGACCTGTTTTAAAGAGCCAGCATCTCAGAAGGGGTGCAGTGACTCAAGCCACAGCCTAGGCCTGTTTCTTAGGGCAGTTTCTCCTCTAGGAGCCAGATTTCTTTCCAAATCCATTTCCAAGACAGGCGCTGTTGTGGTCAGGGTTTGCAAGGGAGCAGGCTTAGTACAGGACACATGATTTATAGGATTTTTTTATAACAGTCACCCACAAAGTCAAACACAGAGGAGTGCAAAAGAGTAGCTGCACACTAGAGACCCGAAGAATCCATCCAGAGGCCTGGAGCCCACGACAATGTTTCATGCAAGTCTGTATCAAGAATCTGCACCCGGAAGGGCCAAAGGCCAGTGGCGGAAGCCAGAAAACTTGCTCTGGTGAGGTGAAGGATTTGTGCCACCAGGCTGAGAGATCCGTCCTGGAGCCGCGATGCAATGCTCATGGTGAAGATCACAGCTCTCCTGATGAGAACAGCAGCCGTTCCCACTGACAGTGAGGCCCCGAGCACTTCCTCTGTGGAGAACAGCCAAGTTCACACCAGGAAAACCATCCACAGCAAGCTTCTCCTAGGAAATCAACAGGCCCCATCTTCCCCTCCAGTTCTCTTTTTATGCCCTTGGCAACAATCCCCGGGTGGTTCCCCCACACCCAACCACACTGACTCAGTTCAGCTGGGCGCTCCAAGCTGACCATTAGTTAGTCCTCCACAGAAGCCCACTGTTGTGTTCTTAGCAACATCTTTCTTATCTTTCTTACTTGGTCACATGGAGGAGATCAGTTTTTGGAGCCAAACCTTGTGTGCCCTAGTATCATCGGCTCCTCCTGGGGCCAGCAGCTGAGTAACAGTGACCCATGCTGGGCAGCAGGCCAGCAGGGCTCCTTGGTCTCCCCTTCTGTTTCACCTTATACTTCTCTTTTCCCCAGACTTCCTGCTCTCACTCACAGAAGCCCTCAGGCCTGGGATAGATCTGGCCCAAGGCTGAACTGTCAAATAACAAAATCCCTGAGCATTTTTTCTCTCTGTCTCCACGGCTGCAATATTCAGCCTTTCCTGAGAGAGAAGAAAATCTTGGATTTATGGCTCCAGGTCCCCAACCCACACTCCCCCACTCCCCAGCTCTGCACCTTCCCATCTGCCCAGCAGAGCTCACATTCAAAACAAGATTTTGAGCCAGGCATGGTGGCACTGCCTGCAGAGGGTGCGGCAGGAGAGTCTCAAGTCCAAGCTCAGGCCAAGCACTCTGATGACTTAGCAAGAACCAGACTCAAAACAAAAAAGGCTGCACATGGAGTTCTGTGCAGAGGTCCTGGGTTCAATCTTCAGTACCACACAAAACAAAGACATGACCAATAACAAAACCTCACAGGATTAAGTCCACGGTGAAGAGTCATTTTAAATATTTAACTCAAAGAGCTAGACCTCGACTCCAGTTGGTCATATAAAGAGCATTTAAAATACACCTGTGTCGGAGCTCTCGGCCCTTGACAGCTCTCTCCTCTGACCAAAATTTAATCAGCATCCTCCGAGGCCACCATATGATGAATCCAGCCCAGCTTCCTTGTCCGTTCTTGTGGATCCACTTGAGTGAGAATCCTGCTTCCCTCGCCCCTGGTGTCTGACTCTTGTGAGCTCTTACCTGTCATCCACAGGCAATAAGATACCCCCTCCAGTAAGACAGGGAGATGTTCAGGCCCACGGGGCTCTGCCAGGGAAGCGAGCCCACACTGGGCTCATGGTGGGGCATCCAGCCCGCTAGGGGCAGTGCTGCAGGAGAGAGCTCCATGCCAGGCCTGCAGCACGGCAAGTCCCACACAGTGGCCAGGCGCCTGGCCCTGCAGGACAGACAGCATGACCTCGTGTGGGGAGGGTCTGCCCGGTGGGGCCGGGGGAGGAGGGCTGAGCAGCCAGAGGGGAGGACCACCCGGCCCACACCTGCCTGTCTCTCTCCTGACCATGAGCCCCTCAGAGTCCCAGCCTGTCACTTCTGCCTTCTGATCCTAGGTGACCTCTTCTGGCCCGGTCCCACCTGAGCTGTGGCTGGGGAGGGGAGGACAGGGTCAGGTTAGCCAACTGAACCCCTGCGGTGTTAGGAGGGTGAGGCTGTCAACCCCAACCTCTGACGCCACTGTGTTCTGCTCATTTCACCTACAGACAGGGCAGTTCAAAGCTTCCGGCCACCGCACAGCCCTGGGGTGCACCACCAGGAAGGAAGGCCTTTGCTCCTAGACAGATTTACCTTTCAAGTTTCTCACACTTGAGAAGCCATGCGATGTGTAAGCTGCGTGCGATGCGTTTCACTTGGCATTATGGTCTCCAGATGCACCCATTTTCCTACAGATGACTCGGTTTGTCCTTCGTCGTGGCAGAGCAGAAGACATTTGAAGCAAAGTGTGGCAAGCTTGCCTTCCAGGCCAGCCCCTTTCCCCGGCAGGCAAGGCCGATCCTCACCACCGTCCTCCTGCAGGGCCAGGAATCGAGGGCTGGTGCTCAGCGCGGGGCTGAGGTGCCTGCCCCACATCCTGGCGCTGCCTGCCCATCTGGCAGGGAAGGCCGGTGGCCACTGGCATCACAATAGGGGCACTGAGGCATGCAGGACGTGGAGTGACTCGTCCATAGCAGAGGCGTGAGTCAGCAGCAGGCCAGGCTCAGTCAGACCCGCTCATCCGGAGCCAGTTCCATGCCGACAGCTGGTGCGGGGAACGGACCCCTTTGTGCAGCCCTGTGAAATGCAGGCCACGTTGTGTGTGGCCACCCTGGAAGCCACGTTCCCTGGTGTGGCTTTCTTCTCCGCCGAGGAGGAGGTCCCTCACCTGAAAGCACGGATCTTGCTCGCCTGGCACAGTGCAGTGGAGCTGGGCAGGCTGGTGGCCAGGACACCTGGGCCTTCACTCGCGGTCACTCGGCGTGACCCAGTATGCTCGGGCCTCTGCGGTTCCACCGCAGGACCGGGGTCCTCGACTCAGGACCCCGCCCGGAGACCCGAGGCTGGCACGGGTGCTGGGCTTCAATCCGCAGCAAGCGTGGACTGGCGTGGTCGTGGCTGGCTGTCCTCACCACCGAGGTCTCCGAGTGCTGCTCGCTGAGCGCCGCTTCTCAGCAAGTCGTGAGCAGGCCCAGCGTCCTCAGGAGGCTGGCACCTGGCTGCCGGCCTTTTTCCTGTTTTAATTTTTAACTGACACCTAGAAACTGGACCTGACTGGGGGCTGCCATGTGGCACTTCAAGGCCCACGCCGTGCAACATTGAACCTGGCAGCTCAGCACTGGGCATAGGGAGTGGCAGCAGCAGGGTCTCCTACCTGATTCCCTGCATCAACTTCCTTCGGACATCGCAGAACCCCGATCCGGCCACCTGCTTCCTCCAACCAGTGACTGGATGACACCAGAGCTTGCTCTGCCCCTCTCTGCCCCGTGCTGCAGCCTCGCCTAGCTTCCAGCCTGAAGGATCCCTGCCTCTGAGCTCACCCACATCCTCAGCCAAATGGCCTTTCCATTGGCTTCTCCACCTGTCCCTCATCTCACGCCCAGTTAGTACCCCCCCTCCTCCTGCTCCTCCTCCTGCTCCACCTCCTCCTCTTGCTCATCCTCCTCCTCCTGCTCCTCCTCCTCCTGCTCCTCCTGCTGGTCCTCCTCCCCCTGCTCCTCTTCCTCCTGCTCCTCCAAATCCCCTTTCCACTTCTCACTGCCCTCTACCTGAGTCAAATCTGCCCATGTGGAAGCCTCCACTGCCAGGCAGGCAGCCCACACGAGATCTGTCACACCAGGAGCTCACGTGTGTTCGTGCGAGCCCTTGGCTCCTGCCTGCTTGTCTCTAAACTCCCAGGACTGGCTGGGCTCTTCTGCTAGTCTCTTACACCATGCCTCTGACACCTCGCGGAGCAAATAGGTGTTCAATAAACCTGCACAACGCCGAGAGCATGATCTCCCCTCTGAAGCCACGGTTCCTAATCAGCGGGAACCCGCGAGGCAGCTCGCTGCTGACACAGGCACCCCGAGGCGTGTCCAGGCCCCGCGCTCGGCCCGGGCCCTGCTTGGTACTGCGGGAGAGGTAGGTCTGCTAAGGGGGCCGTGGGAGGTCTGCTGCTTCCTGGGCCTGGGAAGGGCTCGGGACCCAGCCTCTTCCCCCTTCCTCTCGCATCAGGCCCCAGTGTGGGCAGCTCTGGTCGCCTCGCATTCCCGCCGTGCTGTGCTGGAGGCCCCCACAGGCCCGACTCCCCAGGAGCCACAGGCTCCACCCTGTGAGCCAGAGTAGCTCATTCTCCTCTCAGGTGGGGATCTTGGGAGTGGTAGGAGGGACCTGAGGCTGACAGCCCCTCGGTTAGCTTTTCGGAAGGAGTCTGGGCCAGGAAGGGAGCCTCCCGCTGTTGTGCCCAGATTGCGAAGTCCCCAAAGACCACCAAGGAGCCGATTCCGATGCAAACGCACAAGGGTCGTTTATTCAAGCTCGAGCAGGGGCTCCCAACCGTCACCGACGCAGCGGATCAGAATTGAGAGCCCCGAATTTTAAATTAGCCGGGTTTTTATAGAGGTTACAGCAAGGTTTGCAGATTTTTCACTTAGCAGTTACATGATTGGTTGACAATTAGCGAGCATGAAGTGTACATTTCTGATTGGCTAGGTACATCGGGGGTTGAGGGGTGGCTACATGTAGGTTTTACGAGGGAAAAGAGGGACAAAGGTTAGTGGTCGACTGTCACGTACTGATGGTCAGCAGACATTTGCAGCTCGTTCTAAAAATTGTGGTTCCCGGAACATCAGTTCCGGGCAAACAAGGAGTTGAGTAGTTTACTTTGGGACTTTAGGTCTGTTACAGATTTTTATCTAGTGTCCCAAAGCAAACACATTTTAACCATTAATTTGAGAGGACAATAGGGACTAGTGCATTCTAGCCAAATGGAGTTGCTTTGGTCTCACACCGCCTCTACCCAGCCTGTCAGGGAGGCGCCGGCTCCTGCGGGTTGATTGTCACCCCGTGATCCCTCTCGCCTGCCTGCCTCCGCCCCGCAGGCTGAGGACGCAGCGCCCCCCCCCCCCCAGGCTGGTGTTGGGGTCTATGGACAGCGGGCGGCGCACAGACCCTGCTGCAACTTGACCCCCGCTCTCTCGTCCCCACCCTCTTTGCGTCCCTTGGCCCAATCTTTGCTTCCTTTCCTATTGCACATGCCTAAACACTTCCTCCTCCCTTGCAGAGAAAAAACGAGGAAGCCCCCTCTTTTAGGAGAATAACTGAATAAGCAATCAATGCATTGTGATGGAATATGCCATATATTTTGACTTTTTAAACTTTGGAAATATTGTACGATATGAGACTAAAGAAAAAACATCATATGCTAATGTTAAATGATTTCAACTGTGCGAAAGTATGTAGAAAAGGACTAAGAAAAATAGACTAATAGATTAGAGTAGGGGATTGACCTGTGTTTTCTTTTCTTTTATATTCACCTTTTTTTTTTTGCATTTTCCTCATATATTGTAACTCAAAAACAATTAAAAAAGCAAAAAAATTTGCAAAAGACCTGGTCAGTATCTGGCATTAATGGAGAGTAATAGTATAAAAAACCAAAATATCCTATAAGAATGATGTGCTAGCTAGGTCACCGGAACACTTTAGACATGAGGTAGCACTGGTGGGAATTGAATGGAAATTCAAGAGCATCCATGAGACTCACAGTAATGGGACAGGAAGACACTGCCCCAGACTGCCGGGTGCTGGTTCTGCTCCCCTGGACGTGGCCGTTTTGCTGCTGCCTCTCTGTTGCAGGAGGTGCACCTCAGACTCGTCAGCTGTAGTACTTTGTACTTCAATGGGTTGAATATAATGCAGGCAGCTTGAGAAGAAACTCGATTTTCCTCATTCAGTAACTATCTGCTCTTTATCTTGATTCAGGACAAGATGATAGAAAGTGTTAATGATAGTAGAGGAAGAATTTAATATAAAATTGCTAGAATATGCATTGGTAATTTCTCTAGAGGATGGCAAGGGGAATAGAGATATTGTAACTGAGTGTTTATATTATTACCGCAGTGCCTCATGTATGTTTTGCTATGGTCCTTGTGCTTGGAGATTTTCTCTAACTTGCTGAAGGATTAACTTAGAGAAACAAGCTGGCTTTGCTCCTCAGCTGTGTAAATGCATCCTTTAAGATAACAGTGTTTCCCAAAGAATATTCCTTGGATATTAATCCTTATGATGTTTCACCAAAAAAGGGTCCTGTGCCTAAAAAATTTTGAGAAACACCAAAAACCCTCCTCTGGAAGGTTCTGAGAGCTTCTATAGAGGAAATAAGTTAAAATAACTAATACTAGGGGGGTTTTCTTTTGCAGTACTGGAGGTCAAACTCAGGGCTGAGCTACATTTCAAACCCACACCCACACACCTTTATTCTTTTGAGACAGGGTCTCACTAAGTTGCCCAGGCTGGCCTTGAACTTGTCATCCTCCTGCCTCAGCCTCCTGAGTAGTTGGGATTATAAGTATGTGCTGCTGTGCTCAACTAGTGTCATGATTTCTTATCACATTGCATATCTCTATTAGTTTTCACTCTATTAAAGGTATTTTTTATACTGTGATATACATCTTACACCTGGGGAGATTTTAGAGTCAGCCACTAACACTGACCTTTTCTCGTGCTGTCCTCTGGAAGGCTGAGGCCAAACCAGGACCCAGTGTCCCCATTTGCTGAGGCTTTAGCAGCCCTTCTCTGCTCTCCCCTCGCTGCTTTTCTTAAGTTCCCTGGGGACTCAAAGTAAGCCAGATCGTCTGCCAAACTCAGCGAAGGGCAGGAGGGTCTCAACATCCACAGGCCTTCCTGAACCCAGAGGGAACAATCATTCCTGGGAACGAGATCCTGTCTTCCAAAGGTCGCCCTCCTGGGTGAGAGAAAGCACCTTGTGCGGATGTCAGGCCTTCTCAGAGGAGCACAGACCCACGCCCCAGAGCCAGGCACATGCAGAAGCCTGCTGGCTGCAGCTGAGTCACTCAGCTTCTGCCCTGTTTGGAAACTCAAATCCATGTGGTAAGGAGGCCTGATCATCTGAGAAAAACAGCCATGGGAAGAAAACCATGCTGGGTCAGATTGATTTGTGAGCGCATCAGGTTACTGAAACTTTCGCCAGCTTGCAGGAAAAATACTTTCCCATTTGCGGGCAGCTTCCTGCATGTCAGTAGAAAGCCATTCCCACCCTGAGAAATATGCCTTCAAATCCATTCCCTGTGTGAGGCCGAATTCTTGGCTTTTGGGGGGGCTTTGTCCAGAGCCTGAAACTGATTCTCAACGGCTGCTCCTCTGCGGCTTTATTCAAACAAACATGGGCTCTTCTGGCTCAGGCAGGGCAGAGATGGAGAGAGGACAGCGAGGCCTGCCCTGCACCCCCTGTCCCTTCACCCTTAGCCCTTGGAGGCACAGCTGCGGCGGCTCCGAGTGAATGCGTTCTTCGCGCATACTCAATCTGTTTCATTTAGCTGTTTTTAATTACTTTGTAAGAATAATTTTAATGATGTCCGATACACAGTGGTGCACTATATAAACACATCAACATAATGCATGCAAGTTAGGTTGTAGCTCAGTATTCATAGCAAAAACATAATTCCTAAATATGCACTTAGGAAGTTCCAGGGAATTTCAGATTTGCAAATACATGTAAATATGTGGCCTCATAAGAGTTTTCTCAGTTGTTTTGGGTAAACAATATTTATGCAACCAGGAAAAAAAACTTTAAAAAAAATTGCAATTAATCCCCCCCAAAAGAGGATTCTTTTTGTGTTTTATAAAGTTATATTTTCTTTAGAAATACTACTCTGAGCTGTCAAAGGCTTCAAGAAAGACTATTTTCAAAGAGAAAGCATGTGGAAAAAAGTAGAAAAGCCTGAATTAGGAAATTATGTGGCATCTGGATGATTTTCCTATATATTTTTCTACTAAGTAGGTTTCATAATTTTTTTCCCATGGAAGGAATAGTTGCTTTGACAGTTGCTATAGTTATGACTAGAATAGTGTTTTTTCTCCAAAATATGTATTAAATAGTCACAGTATTAGGAATTTTTTAAGATATCAATAAATGAATTTTAAGTATGAAAATTTTCTTTTCCTTGCCTTAGAGAAAATATTTCTGGGTTTCTTAGACATGAAGCCATAAGATTTTGTTTTATGCCATTAATAGTAATTGAAAAAAGAAGTAAGTCAACCATCGCTGCATTAATATTATACAATGCATTAATAAAGATGTTTTCCTTGAAATTTGCAATAGGGCCTTATAAAATAATAGCATATATTGTGTATTTACTATATGCTATGTTTGGTGCATGGGTAAGTGTGTATTTATCTATTTCTCAGAGAAGAAACAAAGCTAGGGGTTAAGTAATGTGTTGGACAGAACAGCTACTAAGCATGGAATGAGAATTCAAACCCTGGTTGTTTAACTCCCTGGGCTTTTAAACACCACTTTTAACAGCATAGCTCCTCCCTTAAAGCAAGAATACTTACTAAATGAATCCAAATAGGTATGAAGATCTCCTTTGGAAACACTGAAAGCAAAGAGAAACAAGTAAACTATGTATTTCTATGCCTTTGGCATTGAGGAGTTGATCTTTCTCTAGACACCACTAACAACTGAACTTGAGCTTGAGTACATGCAAGAACTGCTGACCACTGCATCTGAAGGCCCAGGAAGTGTGTCTGGTCCACTGCAGTGCCTCCTCCACACAGGGCCACCTCACAAGTGCAGGCTGTACCCCTCACCATGCAGCTCCACTGATGGCCCCAAGCCACACATTCATTTTTCTATGAATAATGCAATTACTCATTTCTTATGATTCTCAGACCTACTACTTTCAGTTCTTTCAAGTACGGCACTTCTAAAAATAGAACAATACAAACAAAAAGAAGGCATTTCACTTTCCTTCTTTGCAGTAGTCAGTTCTCTGTGAAGGCTGCAGTTGCCCTGTGGCACATGGGGTCATGCCTTCCACTGAGCAGTGAAAGCTCTTATCTGAACCCACCCGGCTCTGGGCTTAGACCCTCCCTCCAGCCACAGCATTCCTGATCCACACTGGTGTCCCCCAGATGCCACACTCATCAGGTTATCCTGGGTGGGGCAGCCAGTGTGAGCTGTGTGACAGCCCAGCCTGTTTCTCTCACAGGGCTCAGCAGGGGCCTCGAGTCACCAGGACATCACCCACCCTGCAGCATCTCTGACTTGACCTCACCTGTGCTCCCCTGCTGACTCAGCTTCTTGTCACTGGTAAAATACACCCGGACCTCAACACGCTACTCCAGATGCATGGGTCCAAAACTGGAGACCAGACAGTTAGAGTCCATCTCAAAAACTAAATCCCCTCAGTCTCCCGTACAATTTTCTTATCATTTATAGTTTCCAGCACCCTAAATAATTTCCCTAGTCCTTTTAAAATATTTTTGAGACAAGACCTCACTAAGTCACTTAGTTGCCGGGCTGGAATTAGTGATTCTCCTGCCTCAGCCTCCCAGAGTGCTCAAATCACACCCAGCTCCTGTATTTATTACTTTTGCATAATCTCTGTCTCCCATGATTAGAATATAAGCCTAAGCAAGTAGAAATTCTTGTTCACTTTGCTGGAACAAAGTGCCTGGCAAACTCAATACATATTTATTGAAGGATTGAACACTCATAGCTAGGCCTTGCTGCTGCAGCTGAATGTGCTGCTAAGCCATTGAGTTTAATCAGTATCTGAACAAGGTATAGGTTAGTGAAGACCAGCATAATGAACTGGCATTGAAGTCAAAGGTATTGGCTTCAAAGAAAATAAGACTCAATCAAGGGAGGGACGCTGGCTCTGGGGCTGGCTGGCCCTCACCAGCACCCTGTTTCACCCCTCCCAGCCCCTGCACACCTGGGGCCTCAGTCTCCTCCTGCGTGAGAGGCGATCGTGGCAGGGCCCGCTGCACAGGCAAGCATGAGAGTGCATGCTGACTGTGCATATGGAAGAAGCTTGCGGCAGAGCCCCTGGTCAGTAAGGAAGAGCTAATAATAAACAACCATTTTAGAAATGTGAGAGGTGTGATCAAAATGTGCAATGAATGTTTAAAGTTTTATCACAGCAAAAGACATGTTGCCAGGAACCCCCTCCAAACCTCCCCTTTGCTCTGAACACACTTACCCCATGGTTCTTGCCACCTTTTGAGACAGTGCTGAAGTCCTCTTTCATGAGTGTTTTTATGAGGTCTGATCATCAATACAGCAAATGTTGCTGCTGGGTGCCATCCAACAGAGAGGAAGGAGCATAAAGACATTGAGGTGTGTCCTCATCCACCTGATTCACTGTAAGACTTCTGAATATTACCCAAAGTCAAAATGATCATGGAAGGTAAATGCTTTGATCAATTCAGGATATGAAGGCAGCCAAAAAAATGCAACTAAAGATACTCATGAAGGAGGACTTCCAGACCTCTTCAAAAAGTGGCAAGAATAATGAGATAAGTGTGTTCTGTAATAAGTAATAAGTAATCAGTGTGATTAGCATATTTTTAAACTTAAACATTTACCATATTTTTATCACACCACAGATAATGTAGCCACAGAACATTATGGAAGAGAAAACACCCCTCTTTACATTGTTATGATGTTAGTTTGAATCAGCACTGCCTGGTGACTACTAGTTTTAAACACATAAGTAATCGACTAGGTATGAATTGGTAAGTCCAATCAGCCTTTAGTATTCCAGAATCGGAGGAGAGAAGCTCCACAAACACCTGTCCTTGGGTTAAACCTAAGCATAGCCTCTGTCAGCTTCCTCAAATATTTTAGTCTCAGGATTTCTTCATATTCTTAAAAGTTACTGAGCACTCCAGAGAGTATTTATATGGGTTATACCTAGTGGTATTTTTTGTATTCCAAGGTAAAACTGAGAACATTTTAAAAAAGTTTATATGAACTCATTTAAATTTCAATGATAAATCTGTTAGATGTTAAAATAAATAATATATTTTTTAAAACTTCCAGTGGCAAGGGTGGCACCCTGCTCCACAGCTGTATAAGTCTCTTAGTGCCTGGCATGGAGAACCGGGTTCTTTATCCGCTTTTGTGTTCAGTCTGCTGTGATGTCACACATCATGCAGCCCTGGAAAAATCTACCACACATTCATGAGAAGATGAGGGAAGACAAGCCACTGCAGTAGTATTAAGAAAGTCATGCTCACCTGTGGACTCTGAACATGTTTAAGAGGCCTCCCAGAGAGGAGGTAAGCCAATCCCAGTGCCCAGGAGGAGGCTCCCCGGCCACCATTCCACTGCTCCCAGGGCAGAGGAGGTGAGCCGCAGCTGCCAGAAGCAACCCCCGTCCCCCCGTGGAAATGAGAAGACATATAAACAAGCCTCAAACACAGACTTCCAGATCACCTACAGCAATCCCAAAGGGAAACGAAATGGAACAATCTGATACTCAACCACCTGGACTCCCTGAACTGGCAACAAAAGAGGATCTGGGAAAAATGAAATCAGAAA